ACCTCACAATAAAAATACCATTACAATGACGTTAAAGTCTATTCTTAAAAGTCTACTTTACTTTTTATGATGCTTCAAGTCGACCTCTTCTATCACTGAGCACCACAATAAATATATATATAGTAAAAAACATTATTTGCTAAAATGCATTTACTCTAAAATGCATTTACATGCATTTCTTTAGTAATTTATAAATAGTTTTAATTAAATAAAAATTTATAAGAGCTACTTTTTTCATTATAGGCAATTTGTTGACTTCCAAAAGGGAAAAGGAAAACTTAATTGTGTCCAGCACTTATAAGGAATGATCTTGGAAACATTATCAAGATGACTACTACAAAATTACAATCCAACTACAATCAAATAATACAGCTTTTATGTATCGGGACAAGACTGCAGACCATAATTGTACGGTGGCAACTCCTGCTAATATTGTTCATATGCAACTGTATTGGTAAGTACCGAGAATTTTAAATTTTTTTACTGGTTAACTCCTTTTTTGCTTCATTTTATTTGCTAATAATAAAACAAAAAAAAATTAAATATCAATTTTATAAAAACCGCTGCTTTCATTACGTTGAAAATAATAACTTAATCCTCTTCATACATTGAAATGAAGAATTTTCCATTTCAAACAAAATCTCTTCAGTGGGCGCATTTGAACCAGATTTCGTGTTTCCATTGGAAAATGTGACAATAGCACAAGGCCGTGATGCGACCTTTACGTGTGTGGTCAATAATCTTGGTGGTCATAGGGTGAGTGGAGAAACCACAACAGCCAGGGTATGTATCGGTTTTAATATGCGTATTAAAAACAAACATTTAATTATCCTTTAAATTTACTTTGTTTTTGGTTTATAGTTTTTTTTTGTTTTCTTTCCAACCAAAATAAAATTAATTGTGCACAAAATAATCAATTAAGCACATTAAATTTTAAAATTCTATATAATGTAATAAAGTTAAAGAGCACAGCACCTTCACTTATTTTATATGCACCAAATTATTTAATTTTGGAATAATGTAGATTTTATAAAAAATAAAATTATATTACTATTAAAAATTTACAATAGCACCTTTTAAAAGCTAATGCACTTTGCACAGTAAATAAATAAAATAAAAATAACCAGTAATAGCAAAACATCTCATTAAAGGATATTAAAGGACTTTTATGCTATTGAATGAAACGGTATCGTCATATTTAAAGAATATGTGGTATCAGTAAAAAAACTAAATACAAAACAAAAAAAAATTTATAAAAATTAAGTTCGATATACACCTTTTGATTGATGTGTTTAAAGAAATAAATTTAATTTTTTGAGCGACAGTTCTGAATTATTTAATAATTTATTTAATTAGTTGGCCATAAGAGATATAAGTCGTCTTTAGCCGCATTCAGTATGACATGACCTGTTTAGAGATTTGTAGCAATCAAAAACCGTCCTCGATGTAAATTAACTTGGCTGTCTGAATGTATATATGTTCTCATATTCACTTCAAGACAAGCTCTAACTTCCCCAATAGCGATCAGTTCTGCTCGAAAAATACTACATTGATATGTAAGCAATGTAAATCTATATTAAATAGATTTATTCCGTCCTTCCGAGAAACTCCACTGCCTACACTACTATATATTTTTCAACCACTAATGAAAATGGTTTGATCATCGCCTAATAAATAACCTCTTGACAGGCAGGTATCTCTAGATGAAAAGTCTACATTAAGTTTTCTAATGTTAAAATTGAGAATGAGAGATTAAGAATAGATACAAAAAGGTTTAACTAAAGTTTGTTAGATGCTATTTAATATTGGTAAATCTGTTTGGGGAATTAATAGCAATAAATGCCAAATGACATTACTATATAGAATATGTAAATGAGAAGTTTTTAATGAAAGCTTTGAACCTTTTGATGTGTCAGTCTGAGTTCATGCTTTTTCAAGAGAGCATAGTAATCAGTGTATTTAGCTACCTTTAGTATATAACATACTTGAAATTAGAGAATTATCATATTAAGAAATAAGTTACAGTTTTTCTATAACTTTGATAAAAAAAATTTAGTATTATTTTTAAATAATAATAAAGTTGAGTTTAACCTTAAATCATATTCTTCTTTGAGTAAAATAACACTAATTTTGGAACTTAAACAAAGAAAATGGTGTTATCGTTGCAAGTGGTATATGTATAACAGTTCCAAAATTTTCAAATAATTCCCAAAATACAACTTAATTTCTTTTATGAAAATAAGGAGATTAAATATGAAATATTTTTTCCCTTTTTGCTGTGAAATTTTTAGTTTATTTGCTTTGATAATAATTGACTAATGCAACAGCAGGAACAGCAACCAGAACATGAGCAGCAATAATAATGAAAGCAATGAACAGTGAGTTCGGGTAATACTTTATGTTGCCATCAAGGTGAGCAACAATGAAGAGCAGCAGCTAAACTGAATTATCGCTTCAAAACTGAATTCATTTGCAAAGTTTACCAACAGCCAACAAACAAACAAACAAACCAACAATCAAACATACAAATAAACAAGCCCACAAACCAATAACAAATCGAATAAATGGACATGCACATACATGTAAATACAGGCACATTCACACACTGAACAAACCTCGGACTGAAACAAAAACGCATCATGGAATTATTGGTGAAAATTTTGAAATTATTGTGGCATTTTTATAGTTGCTCCGAAGTCATCCGCGCACTTATCATCAAACTGTTGCGCCAACAGTCACTGATAAATGCGCTTTATTTCACTGACGCCTAAAAGCGCACAATGAAAATGTTCACAAAATACAAAATTTTGCAATGCGTCAATATGCTTAACACACAAATACAAAACCACCATATACACGCACGCACGCACACACACACACGTACACTTTCACAAGGACATAAGCAAACGTAGTTGAGATTAAATGTTTGCGAATGTACGGCATATCCTGCATTATTTTCAATCATTCGGACAATATTTGTTTTGTATGTGTTTGTGAATTTGTCAGCCTAACTATGGACTGTAGTTAGGCTGACGACACAATGCAAATGCAATTGTATTGGAGTTAAAAACTTACCAGCGCAGCACGTACATCCTAACCGATAGTTTAGTTTGCGGTTTATGTATTCAAATGGAAATCATAAATTTTGCGTTTAAATGATTTTAAAGGTTTTATGTATTTTAATCCGGTTAATGTAGGGAGTTGATATTTTTGAACGAAATTTTGATTGAAGCACAGATCTGTATTGATTTTCGTACACATGTCATCAAGAGGTGTAAATCAGAGCATGAATAAAAAATTTAACTCTTAATGCAAACACAAACAGTATGTAAATAAATAAAATAAAAGGTATCTGTCAATATGCACAGCTATAATAATAATAAAAATAAATTTACAGTGTCATAAAGAAAAAAAACTGGAAAGTTTAAAAAAAAATATGCATAAAAAATTGTCAATTAAAGAGAATAAATTGCACTGAAATGTAGTTAAAATAAAATGCACCCAAGTTACAGGCGATTATAGTATTCAAAAACAAAAGGATCATAAAAAAATATCACTAGAAAAAACGTGATCATTTGTAAAAAAGTTGAAATTTATCCGCGTTTAGCATTGTAAAACACCGCACCGCACTGCACCCCATTGCACTGCAGTGCATTGGTAGTATAGTTGCACTTGCAACGAGGCATAGGCATAGGCCTCGGCATTGGCCCCATCACCATTACCATCATAATCACCAGCAACAGCATCAGTACCAGTTCTGGCTCTGGCTCCGAATCCGACTCCGGCACCGGCACCGGCACTTGCATATTTTTAAGTTTTATTGCGTTGATACTTGTATTTTTTATTTAACTTTTTTGTTTATTTATCAATTTAAGCGCACCAAGTTAAAACCGAAACAAACTTTGCACCATTTTAATATATTTTCACGTATATAGTAAATTCACAAATATGTTATCCTTGTAGTGCCTGTTTGTGTATTGAAAATGAAGCTGAAGTTGTGTATAGTCTGGCATGCGACTGAAGATTTATAAGCTCAAATAGTAGTTTGGCTTAACAAATTTATAAATATTTTTTTTTTTTACAAAAACGCAAAATGCATTGCCTCTTTTTTTTCTATTTTTATTTTTATTGATGCATGTTTTTATGTTATTTGAAATTTATTATCTTCATTGTACGAAAACCATTATTTTTTGGTTGCAACTAACACGACTGCATGATTGCTACTTTAGATAACAAATGTTAATGCTTTCAACAGCAATCAACTCAACTCAACTCTCCTCTGCTCTGCTCTGCTATCAAAAATAGTTTCAATAAACTCAGTGAAAAATATATTATTCCATATCAACTCATATTAATATTAAAATGATATAAAATTATACATTTTATTGTTTTAAAGTCAACAAATTATTGTGGTCTTATTTTATTAATATTAAGTAAGTGGAAATCTTATATACAGATACAGATATATAGTCATTTAAATATATATTTTTATTGAAAGGTGTAAAAGGAATAATATCAGATATTTTCTTCTTTAAAATATCATTAATGCCCAAGATTAGTCTTTATTCGAAGAAGTAAAAATAATCTAATGGGAAGAAAGGGGTGTCTGTTTTTAATTTGGGCTAAGGTTTGAGCTAACAAATGAAACAACCCGAAAGAATCTGCTCATTTCTTTATAAATAGCTTCGTTAGGAGCAATAATTTGATTTCGTTTTGAAGTGAGGAATACAATATAATATCATATTATTAGAATTAAATAGATAGGTGAGTAAATCAAACTGTTTGACATTAAGATGCCACGCATATGCTTCTGCGTTCTTAGCGATATGATTCATAAATAGTTAAATGTGATTCAAACTTTTTTAAAAAATTATTTGTTCTTTCCATAATATCACATTATTAAAACTAAATATATCGTAATTTAAACTGATGGATTGCAAGATGACACGCATAGACTTTCAAGCTCTGGACGATATCAGTTAAAGAAACAGTCAAAATGGTAGTATTAATGATAAATGTTATAAGAAGTTAAACACTTCCAATTTTCCAGAGTTGAATAAATTATTAATCAACAGATAATGTGTCGAACTTAGTCATAAGAATGATTTATTATTTGGTATGAATAACATCTTTAATAATGCCACTTCATGTAATTAAAAATCATACCTTATATTCATTTATATAAATTCATATCATATTTACAAATACTAAGGCAGAATCATCCAACACGTCAGCTAGTTTGACACTTTTCGAATTTAGATTCAGTTTGCTAGCCATAAATGTTTTATGGACTGTTTTCTGATGGAGTTACCAAGAAAAAGGGCACCGATAGATTTAGATTTGCACCACTTGGCAATAAAGCAGACAATAGCTTTTTTCGAGAGTCGTGGACAGCATTTAACATAGTGTTGTATTCCTGATTGAAGAGCATGAAGCACTTATTGAAAAAGGAATCCTGACTAACTGCTACGTTGTGCGACCTGCTTAAATATATTTGTCAAATGCCTCTTAATAGTAATTTTTTTTTACGAGTTTAAATTAGATTAATTAAAATAGATTAAATTAGCTAGTTTTTTCAAAATGAGACTTAGTCATAAACCGCTACAGATTCACAGTTTTTAAGGGCTGCATGTATATGTTTGTGGATTGTCTTAGTATCCAATCATCACAACAATATTACAAAGATGATTTCTATAAAGATAAAATGAGAAGGAGTTCTCATTGGTATAGTATTCATACAGTTAAAGTGAAAATCTTGTATGCAGATATAGTAATCATGATCTATGCACAAGTAGAAATATTAGGTGTTTTATCATTAACCAATAATATCCAAGGGTACTATTTTGGTTTAATAATATTCCCATAAATAAATTGATTTATTGATGTCTATTTTCAATGTGTGCTAAACTTCAAGCAAATCAAAACAAGGTGAAGAAAAGTGAAAGTCATAAAACTCTCACTATCACTTCGTAAAGCTTATTCAGTAAAACAATTTCCAAATATGTTTTGGATATTAATTTTGTTATAATATCAGGTTTAAATTCGACTAAGTATCCTTTTTGTTCAAGGACTACAAAAATACCATAGCACGACTGCACAGCTGAAAATAAGTGCTAAAAAGATATTTGGCTTAATCTACAGATTTATTAGTTCGTAGAATTTCTGGTTTATTATCCAAATCTGGTTATAGTGGAACATTTCTACTTGCAGTTACGGTTATTTTGGTCAAACAAGGATCTTATATTATATAATAGTTTGATTAAAATTACTAAGCTCATAATTGATTTGATTTATTAAAAATAAAATAATTTCTGTGTTGTAGACAATAGGTTTTATCTTTACTCTCTTAGAAATACATTTGTGACAGAAAATATAATTCTTATTATCACTATTTAATGCCGTGATGTAGGCTTCGAAAGTAATTCCACTAATTCAAAAGGAAACAAAAGAATGTCTTTTAAATATGTGAACTATAAAATGTTACTCATACGTCATGTCATTGTTTATCATAAAAATGCGAAGTAGTTTACCTTAGAAATTAATTATTGAAAATAATACTTTAAGATAAAATCATACTAAAAAATTAATATCTTAAAAGGAAAAAAGAAGTGATTGGTATAAAATTTTAGTGTAAATTGCAAGATCAATGACTATTTGTATGGTCAGTAAAAAGATATATATTAAATACATATGTTTAACCTTTTACAATATATACATAATTGAGAAAAAGATTTAATTATGAATTTTAAATTTAATTATTTCGAAATTAATTAAAACTATTCACTTTAAGTAGTCACTTTTGCACAGTCACTACTATGTAGTGACTCTAATAGTGCAAATAATAGTGTACTCACTACACTATTATTTGGTTTTAAAAGAAGCGTTATTTAACAGCAAACTTTGAAAAACATGTTCACTTCACCACTTCAATTTTTAAGATGTGATATTATTTATAGTTTTTAGAAATAATTTCCAAATCGTGTCCTCGCCTAAGACTTTAAAACTCTTTAGTTGGATTGGATGTACAAAATTCTTTTATTAATTTTTATGAATAGGTCACGCTTAAAGTAGCAAATGAAAGTAGTTTCATTTATTTAATTTATCGAAGTTTTCATCCTTTTGATAATTAATATATGTTGAATAAAAAATTCTTTATATTTTGCGTTTAGTATTTTTTAATTAAAATTCCATATGAATTCTTTAAAAATGATTTTATTTCGGTATGACAAATATGCACAAATGTAAATGATGTAAATATTTCTTTGTCTTTTACTTGGTAACAATTTTGATTTGATTTATATTTTTAATTTAAATTAGTATTTCAATCTTAATGTTTATCATTACCTACATAGTCCCTATTAACTTTATAGATGTAATTAATATTATATAATATTACTATATTAACATATTCAGAAGAACTTTATGCATGATCTTATTATAATGCACCTTCGGCACTAATTTAATTATGTGAATTCTATAAATATATTTATTTTTTTTTTATTTTTTCAATCTTTAACTAAAAATTTTTTGCTAATACTAAAAATTTTAGCCACAAAATTCATTAAATTAAATGCATTTTTAAATTTCTACTCCAATAACTAACAAACGATGATAACCCAAACATCCCATTTCCCTAATTGCATTCGAAATATCCTTTTTCATATCCTTAACAAAACCAATATTCCAATTCACAAATATGTATTCAACAAATGCAAAAAAAAAATCCGTATCCTTCGACCCACAACCAACTGGCAAATGGAAAATGGCGTCAAATTGCACTGACATCTGACCACGTCAACAACAATGACAATCCAACACACAATCGTCCTTTTGCGGCCGAACTCCGAACTAACCACGAATAAACCTAACTGTAAAAAAAATCGATTTCCAAACGTATTTTGTGGTGCAATGATGCAAAAAAAAACTCATCCAAAACACATACGGACATGTCTCTCTATGCACGCCGTTCTATTAAACTAACGAAAATGAAAAAAATGCCGGAAATTGCTGAATAAACGTTGATGACTCTAATCTCTCCGTCAACAACGTACTGACAACCACGAAAAAAAACTAATGAAAAAACATAAAAAAAATTAACCGACTAAAAAATCGAAATTGACGATAACAATGTCGGCGCTTAAATGAAATGATCTGCGTTTGTAACTTTTGTTTGTTACTGTGCCGCGTACATAAAACGCATCAAAATGCAATTTGAATACAAATGTTCCGTCTGCTGTGGCCCTGCTCCTCTGCGAATACTTCAACTGGGACTTTCGAACCAACAACGACGTTCAACTAACATCTGACGCATGCACTTCCGGCGCTTTGGAACGCAACTTTATGTTCCTATGTTATGTGCCTATGACGTTGAAAAACCAATTGCACTGTACGAAACGATACGGAACGGAACGGAACTGCACATAACTCAACGGAAATGCAGGTTGCTTGGATTAAGGCCGACGCCAAAGCCATCCTAGCGATACATGAGCATGTGATAACGAACAATGATCGATTATCGGTGCAGCATAATGACTTCAATACGTGGACACTGTACATCCGAAATGTCAAAATGGAAGATTCCGGCAAATACATGTGCCAAGTTAATACGGATCCGATGAAAATGCAAGTAAGTTTAATTGCAGCAATTTAAGTGTAATTGTGCCGAACAGCAGCGAACCGCAATGCAACTCCAAATAAAAATACAAATAAGCTGCTTACCATTATGAGCACTTATTTGTCCTTTTATTGCTGCTGCTGCTTCTGGTAAAATGGCTCTATTCACCATTTCCAAATAATATTTTTAGCAAAAATGAACGAAACTTGGAATTCAAATTTGACAAAATTGTACTAGAAATTCTAAACAATAAAGGAGTTAGAAACTTAAATATGGATGAGTTGATAAAATTTTAAAAAGCAGAAAAAACGAGAAAAGAATAAAGATATATAGATGAGGATTTTAAAAAAAAGTTGTCCTTTATTGTCTGTAGGACAAGTATTAAAAATTTTAAATTATAATCTATATGTTAACAACGACTGATCAAAATTTATGTATTTTTCAGAAAGTATTTGTTTAATCCCAAAATGTTTATTTTATCCTCTTCAATGAAGTCCACCTTTAATGTACACTTAAATGTGGACTACTCACCATCCCTTACAGTTGCAATGTCTTTTAGAAATGATCCTGAGCTCGCTTTACGATTTTGAATATAATCTATTGTTAATAAAAAATATTGTCCTTGTAGTGTTTTTTTGAATTAGAGAGATAGAAATAATCGCAGAATACAATGTCTGAAGAATAGGTGGATTGTATCATTATAGTGATGTTATACTCTGTCAAGAATTGTTGAATAAGAAATGCAATGCTTTTTTTTGACTATATGAACTGTAGGTAGGAATTCGACGTAAACTATATCATTCCGTTCAAAGAAAACTGTTAGAATAGATTAGATTAAATTAAAAAGCGCTGGGCGCTATGCCACCACGTCACTGCAACCTTTAAAGAATATTGCGACAAGTCAACTTCAGTGTCATGGACGCATAAAGGTTAAAAATGTCATTATGTCTCTTGAAGAGATATTGCCTATTTCCGTTATAAATGGATAGGCAATGGATAGCCAGGCTTTCGCAGTGACACAGAATGTGTTCTGGTGTTTCCTTTTCTTCGTAACATATTCTGTAGCTATCGACGCTTGTAATAGTTAGATTCGGTAGATGATTTTTAGCTCTACAATGTCCAGTGAGAAATGCTGTGACAAATTGAATACCTATCTTTCTGTTCAGCATTAACAGCTTCCTAATTCTAGCTTTTGAGCGATATGGCATGAATTCTTTAGCTTGACTGCAGGCAGTTACAATATACCTATCAGTCTGAGCTGCTCTCCAACCATTCATTGATTTTAAGTATAAAGAACCTCCATGAAGGGCCACAGAATTGTTTTGGCCCAATAAAGTATGAAATCGCCCCTTTCCTAGCTAGTTCATCGA